TAGTTTCTATCCATTGTTTCTTGTCTTGCCTTCTAGTGATTTGGAAAATAGATCCCCCCTGTCACGACTTCAATAAAGAACAGGCTGGAGCCGAGACAGCCAGGATATGATACGACCATATTCTTTCACTTACCTAGTGTTGCCATGTGGACGCTATAATGAATATTCGTCAAATAACTAACATCGGCTTCCTGATGGTGGTGTAATGATTCATGGCTGGATGTCAAGGGGGTGATGTTGTAATAATGATAAGAAATAAATGAGGGTACATGGATTCGTGGAGCAGGGGAAAGGTGCAGTTACCATGTTTCTTTAATTTAAGGATTACGGATGTTAGGCAGTGAAGCCAGACGGAAGGTGGTTATAGAAAATATATTGTTATCCAAAGTATAACATGTATAAATACAGCTCTGGGTTTCGTTGCAACCCAGAGCTGACTTTAAACATAATTTGATCGCTGTTACCTGTTGTTGTGGTATGGAAGACGGAAAAAAAAAAAAACTTCACTAAAGCTACAGGAGTGAGTTGATATCTTATCGTTCACCCCCTCAATCTCGGACGAACAGTTGACACCCCTCTTTTTTGTGACACCTCCTTAAATATTGGAACACGCTATATATCACCCCTATCCTTCTTTTCACTAGACTAGACATACCCAATTCCTGAAACTGTTCTTCATATGTTTTAGCCTCCTCCTAATCATCTTAGTGCTCTTTTCTGCATTCTTTTCAGAGTCTCAACATGTGTTTTATAAGATAGAGTGGTGGTGGCACAGTGCTCAGAATGCAGAATTACGGGCTAATTCTGCTGACTATCAGTATTTTGATTCTCATTGGCTCAAGGTTGACAGAGACTTCCATCCTTCTGAAGTTGGTAAAATGAGAACCCAGATTGTTGTGGGCAATAGCCTGACTCTGTAAACAAAGAGGGCTGTAAAGTACTGTGAAGCAGTATATAAGTCTAAGTGCTATTGCTATACTATGGTGACCAAAACTAAATGCAGTATTCTAAATGTGGTCTTACTAAGGCTTTATAAAGTAGTACTATTCAATTCTTAACTGTTTAATTGTTAACTGGTATAACTTTTGTGATAAAATGTAGAATGGGTCATTGGATACCAGTTGATTCTCCTTCATCAAAGCTGATTTTTATTCCTCAAACTTTTTTAAAAAATAAAAGGTCTTAGTACTTAATTTGTGTAGATTAAATGTAGCAACCTAGGGTTCCAATATAAATATTCACTAAAGTTAATGCAACAGAAGAAAAATAGGCTCTAACTATGTTAATTGAAGGCATGAGTTTCATGCTATAAATGGGGTTTTGACATGCTCAGCCCTTGTTTGTTCAAAAACAACTGCCCAATAAAATACATTTTTATCATCTTCAGGTAAGTAGAATAAGGAAGCATAAGAATAAGCATAACGGAGAACAGTTCAAAACACAAGTTTATTATTAGTTCATCACAAATTATTATGTCTACTATTTTAGTTCCAGCAAAAAAAATTCTGCTTGATATATAGAATGGCCAGATTTGGTATACCACGTGCCAGGCACCAATACTGAATTAAAGGTAGCATGGGAAAGAAATTTGAGTACCCAAAGATCCATTGCTATTGGGATTGTCATTGCCATTTAACTGTTAATTTCTACATTATTGTAGAGGGAGGGAGGAGGGGAGGGAGGGAGGGAGGGAGGGAGGAAGGAAGGGTTGATTTCAGATGCTCATTGCCAGCTTCCCACAAGGAAACTCAGTGGACAACTTGACATGAAGTTCCCACTGAATTTTTCCCCTCCCGTGGCTGTTCTGTTTGTTAGGTTAGGAAATATCTCTGAAATGATGACCTAATGGGTCATAGGTTGTCTTGTGTACAATAAATTTTGATTGGAAGGCAGATGCCAGTTTCAGTGTGTACATCAGTTTTAAACAGACTTATTTTGGATGAAGTGTACAATCCATAAAACAATACTATTTACAGCTCAAAAATCCTAACAGAAGAAGATACCAATAAAGGAGAATATTTGTAGCTCAGGACTGAGTGTTCTCTTAGCTTGCTTGTTTTCTTGCAGACGTTTCATTACCCAAACTAGCTAACATTATCAATGCTAGCAAGCTCAGAGAATACCAAGGACCCCTCAAATAGATGATTTACTGCTTAGCTTAAATAATGTGATATTTTTAATGAGGACCAACAAGTGGATTTAATACTCTTGCTAAATGCAGCAACACGCAAGATAGAAATGCAGAATAGAAAAACCAATCAAAGTATATGATACCTTATTATACTAAAACTCATTTTGATATAACAAAATCCCCATATTCAGTTTCAACACAATCGTGTTAACTCCACATGTCTTTAGAGCATTTACAGAATTATTTATTTGGACTTTAAGGTGCCAATTTTTAATTAAATAAATGCACAAAAAGTGATTGTTTAAGTGGCCGTTTAAAGGCATACTACTAGAGCTTATACTGAAGCTTCAGGTATATTGTATATTAATCAAAAGGAAGCTTAATTTGATTTTATTACTAAATTGATTAATTTAGGGATTAGAAAAGAAAATTAATATGTAACACAATACACAATCATGCATTGTTGACTACTGTTAATCAACGATTTACATTATGTTTTGCGGTTTTAATATATCTTATATAATTGCTTTATTTTATTGATAATCTTTGCCATTTACAAAGACATGTTGATTGAACAGAGTCATTTCACTGATCAGACTCATTTGTATGAAAAACCCATCTGAAGAATAAGTTTTGTATAAATGTGGCTTTACAAAATTCAGCTAAATTCCCAATTTAGAAGCTATAAATGAAGACAGTTTGCAAAGTACTCTATAAACTTTAATTAGTACACTGCATGATTAAAGCCAAGAACAAAAAAGAAAGAGAAAAAAATGCTTTAGGGTAGGTTTTTTTTTTTTTAAACAAATGAGAAATAGCTTACTTTTTTGAAAATATAACACTTCAGTCCATCATACTTCGATACATTCATTTAAGGCTTTCTCTATATTGCTAACATGGTAAAATATGCTGCTGATTTTGCATATGGATATTGAATGACTGACAGGAACATCTTACACAACAGAATTACTCTACAGATCATGCTGTTGTTTTAAAGCTGTACATATTCAACCATGTTAAAAAAAAACCAACCCTGTCTTATCAGGAACTTAGGTTGTCCTTTGCCTTTGCCTTCCATGTAATGTAGTTCTATCTTATATGAACAATCCTTCCCAATCAGCATCTTTCCTCTAGTGAACTATTCTTTACTTGTGAAATATAACGTAAGTTGGTAGAGGTGGTCCTCAACTTACAACCAAAAATTGGGACCAGAATTTCCATTGCTAAGCAAGTTAAATGAGTCAGGCCAGATTTTACACTCTTTTTTGCAATATTTAAGCCAATCACTGCAGCTAAGTGAATCATGCTGTCATTAAATGAACCCAGCTTCCCTTATTGACTTTGCTTTTTGGAAGTTGGCTAGGAAAGTTGCAATTTTCATCCCATGACCCTGGGATGTTGCAACCATACATGCCAGTTGCCAAGCACCAGAACTCTGATCATGTGACTATGGGGATGCTGTAACAGGCATATGTGCAGGGATCAATTGTTACTTTTTTCAGTGCCACTGCGATTTGAATGATCACTAAACAGAGTTTAGTTGGTTGTAAGTCAATGACTGGGGGAATTCATGGATGCATGAACATTAACATTTAAATATGAACATTTCATATTTAAAATAGGAAGATATTCTATTGATTTATAGATACTGTCATCCTCATGGGTCCCCAAAATAAATTGCAAAACAAAATATGCCACCACCACCATCTTCAGGCAGATTTAATTTGAAACCCTGTACCATGAAAGTCCAGGTGGAATCCAAATGTTTTGTTGGACAGCTGTACGTTATCAGAAGCAGATCCAATTCCTTCTGAAGGAATTCCATTAAATTAGGCTCTGCTGAAGCAATACTACTAGTTCCTTTGACCTGAATTACTTCCATGGTGGAACATTCAAAATTATCTCAGAAAAATATTACTCGTAACTTGTAGAAAAGTTCCAATAGTGAAACAATATGTCCAGATATTTCTGTTCTAAGAATATAGAGTTTTATAAACAGCAGTACCCTGATCAGGTGGTCTTATCTATGGTCTTATCTCTCAGTAAGTCTGTAGATAGTGTAGGAGATGACCAGCCCCGAGCCTGTGGAAGGTGTCAAATGTGTCATAAGTCATGAGTCCCTTCATGCTCACAAGAAATCTAAGTCCAATCCACCTTGAATTGCTTCCACCGTTATCTACCATCAATTTCCTTTGGCAGTTAGTAGTTCAGATTCTTGCAGAGGGCTTAAGCTTGCAATGAATCTTTATACTCATTTGAATTGCTTGAATTTCCTGATTTCTCTGGAGCCTGACAAATAGCATTTTAGTAAATATAATAGTATCTAAACTGCTAAAGCATCCCAAGATGTAACAAGACACTTTTTTATTGCCAGCAAGATATATCTATTCATTTAAGACAAGAAACAATAGAATGGGATATGAGTAAGACTTATTCTTTAAACAAAATTCAGTTTAATTCTTAAATTTTAATCAGAGAATATTTGACAATTCATCAGAAATGAGAGTTTAAGGGCAGTTTCATATATAAATAGAAGACATACAGATCAAGGCCTAGGCCATTTATAGTTAGGTATTTTCTGGTCCTAGGGTCAGGAAAGATCTTTGGCTGACTCAGCCAGGTCTACTACCAATCACAATCAGCACCACTGGACTAGAGAAGGAACATAACACAGTGGGAGAGCATATAGTTTTGAATGCAAATAGTCCTAGTTCATCCCTGGTATATCCAGGTAGATTAAGAGGAAAATATCTGAAAGTCTGCCACAATTAAGAATAAGAAGATGGACAGAACTACTGTGATATGTATAGATGAATCAAGAGCCTGTCTCAATATAAGGAAAAATGCAAATATAACAAATAGTTCAAACCTTGGAATATAAGATATTTCATCCGTGTGAACAGCACCTGCTAGAGGTCTTCCCAAACTCCCGTTAAGGGACTGAAACGAAAAAAAAAATGGAATTCATTTTCAAAAATGTAAATGTTAACATAAAACTTATATTTATAGATACTGAAAAGTACACATTTCAAGGTAGTAGAATGGCTGCTTTAAGGATCGTGACCGCAGATACTCATTCAAAAAACCCTCCTTCCCATTCTGTGCACCAATAAAGATACACTACGTATCACAATATAAAATATATGCAATTTCAGGTAACTGAATTTAGGCAACAGAAAATTAAAAACAACCTTACATTTTGGCTGCTGTATTTATTAAACTTAGTGCCTCAGTAAATGTGAGCACCTTGTGGATGATGGGTAATTCTGAAAAATAAAAAAAGCTCGGATTTTGTTAGTACTTGGATGGAAGACCACCAGGAATTATCAGGTTTGAACGCTAGATTGAAAATCTGTGAACAGAAGAAACAGGTAAGGCAATAGCAAATCACTTTCAAATTGTTGCCAAGAAAATTACATGAATGTAGATTACAGGAGTCTCCCTATAGTCGCTCAGAGTTGACTCAATACAACAACTATTTGGAAACTGGAAATCATATTGTTGAAGTAAGATTTAAAAGAGCAGTATGATTGTGTAACTCCAATAAACCTGAACATACATTATTGCTGTTAAAATAGCCACATATTTGATATTATACCAACCAATAAAATGGTACACAAATTCCAAAATGAAAAGTTTTCTTTTGCTTCTTCCAAATGCATTACATTTCTCTAAATTATGAGGCAAAGTAATACCAAAGTCAGCATAAACAATTTACAGAAAGGCTTTACAGGCCCTTTCTCTTCCCACTATTACATTCTTATATTATGCTGGTTGCTAAACAGGACAACATGATCATGTCCTATTAACATCACATTCTACTGGATACCTAATGCAAAAAACCAGGTAAAATCTATGCATTAATTTTTTTGGCACGTTTATATTAATTTTCTAAGAAATCTACCTTTGAAGTATTTTAAGAAGTTGTATTTTCTTGAAAGACCACATCCCTACCACCACCAGTACTTTGCATTAAATTGTATTTTAAACACAAGTATGCTTTTTACACAAAATACTAACTAGTTTGTATTTCTGTTTTTTTCTGTTGAAGTGTAGAAGTCTCCAAGTTGTTCCTATTATGCAAATACTATCTTCAAAAAATTTCCCTCTAAAACAGATTGTTCAAAAACATGCAATGCATATTCAGAGCAAATCACTAAAGCAGCCATGTTGTTTTACAGACTCACAAGGTTACTTTGGTAAATGCTACTGGCTGTTTCCACATGCATGTTGATACATAGTTGCTTAGTGGACACAGCTGGGGCAACTTCTAAAGCAAATACAGGAATCTGAAAAAATGCAGTTGCTTTAACATTTAAAGAGAGGTACTTCATAAATATTCCTGATGATTTGAAGAACTTCTTTCAAAATACATGTGCATCCCGAACACTCCCTGTAATTTGCTAGCAGTTCTACAGTTTTTCTCCTCAGGCAGAATATGGCAGAGGATTCTCAGTGGGAAACCAGAGGAAATTATCTTAGTAATGGACACAAACAGATGTAAAACTGCAAGTAATGTTATTGGAGTCAGAATAGATGCACATTAACTTGAGATCTTGCTGGTATAACAAGATAAAAGTGGGTATTACATTTAGCAGTTCATGAGAAACAAAGAAAGCAAGCTTGCTCACAAGTTCTTAAAATAAATCCTTTATACCTCATTTTTTGGCAATACTAAACACTAGTTAAGGGAGTGTCAGTAACACATACATACACTTTCATTGGTCCCCCATATAAGGAGATCTCCTAAGATTTAAATACTTTTACCCTTCGGTCTTCTATTTTCATTCTGAAGACCTGCACAATGAATTTAGACAAAGATATTCCCCCTTTGCCTTTATTTCCAAAGAGATTCTCCTTGTTTCAAATGCCACACATTTTACTTTGCTGTGCCAACTTGTGAGACAACTAATATTTCAGCATTCTTTACTCCACAATATCACAGAAATACTTATGAGCTAAAATTAGCAAGTTTTACTCACAGCCTGAAAAGCAGAACAGAATGTCTCCATTGAGAGATGACAGCCCATTAGAGGAACTGTGAGAGACCTGGCTCAAGGCCCAAAGGAGTCTTTCAGGGACAAGGTTACTGAGGAGAGAGTTCATCCTGAGTAGGCTTTGTCTTAAGCAGCCATAGACCAGCTGGCTTGACCTTGGGCAATCAGCAAGGCTAGAAACCATTTCTTAGAATGTATTGTTTGGATTTTTCATTGGGCTATTCCTGAGATTGAATACGGCACTTCAAAAAGTTACTGCCTGGGAATTCAGGTTAAAAGTCTGTGCAAAACTTTGGTTATGCATTTCTTGATTTACAAAGTTTGCCATTCTTTTGCATTGGATTAGAGACAGACAATGAAAAATGATGATGGAAAGATTGTTTTCCTTCAACATAAGTGGCATTAAGACAACCATTGAGTGAATAGGGAAAAGGTAACACTATGACAAGCATAGTTATAATCTTTTCCAGCTGAGATCACAAAGCTAATAAATACAAGGTCAAGAACTTCCTTTGTTAACAGATTCCGTTCAAGATATGATAAAAGATTTTTTAAGGCATTGGGTGTATATTAGAAAGTCATATACTCCGAGTGCACTTTCTCTGTTGGCTAATTCACATAAGCAAAAAAAGGTTTTGATATGTTTCAGATATTTCTCTTATAATATGCAATTGATGTAGTTATTGTTTTAGCCTTGCCATTTTCTTTCACTCTGCAATAATATTTTAATGCATATATTATATGCTAAATATTCTAAATTCAGTTGAACAATCCTTTAGGTGATTTATGATATAATAATTCACATCTACACAATAAACTAGTGATCTTTCATCTCCCACCAACAAGTAGTGATAGAGGGGGCTTCCTTCCAACCTTGCAATCTCAAGGCTTCTTGAAGTTCATCCTTCATGTTCATTATCATTGATTAAGCAAACAACTTATAGGGCAAGAATGGTGCCCACTCCTTTTTTCATCCAGTCTCCTTATCCTTTATTTAGTAAAACAAGTGCTTCTTAAAAGCAAGGCACCTCACTTAAATACTTTGCTTTCATTCTGCTAAGCAATTCCAGCAGTGCATGCCAGTTCAACACAATGAACCATTCATTCCCTTCAGGTATATAATATGTAACAAATGTTTATCCTAGCAATTGATTAAGGTATGAAACAACTGTATACCTCAGCATCAGCGAGCTTCTAACTTTTCTACAAATGTAGAATGTGGGAGAGGGAAGGAAGCTTTATTCTGCATCACAGACAAACAATGCAACAAAGTTAAAGACCAAATTCAATCCAGCTTTTTTAGGGTAAAATAAAGCAGCCTTCAATTTAAAACTTTAAAACATACATGCATTCTTTTTCTTATAGACTTCAGGTATCATTGTCAAAAAGAAAATTTTAACTAGACAGAATACATGTCCAAAATTCATGAAATTTAACAGTATCCCTCTTGGACATATTTTCAAGGGCTGCTGAGAAACAGAATTGCATTCATGCACATAGCTACGGTTATATTTAAGCAAAATGCCCATTGGAACCATGCACAATAGCACTGAAATTAACAAAGACTTTTCATTGCATCAATACTAGATTATAATAGAAATTCAGCAAAAATAGTTTTGCTGAAACGAATGTTTGCCAATATTGGCAGGAACAGTGCTGGTAGATATATACTAAGAACTCAATTCTCTAGTTCTGCATTTATAGAAAATATATAACTTTCCACCCTAACTCTCCCAAATACTTGTATAGAAAATGACCTGCTTTATTATCTTTACCAAAGTGTGTTTCTGGTGAAGTAACAGATACGGCAAATTTGGTACGGAGGGAGAGACATCAAAAAAAAAAAATTCTTTCTTCCATGATGCTCTTCCATACATCCTAACTGGCACCTCCTTTGTTTGAATTCATAATCAAAATAGGACCTACCTGTTACTGCATCTAGTTTGGCCCATGGTATTTGAACATTTGCCATCAAGTTCAGAGTAATAATTTAGCTAATGTAATAATGCCATACCTAAATAAATAAATAAATCTAATAATTAACAAAACTAAGTTATCTGTTTTGCTTTGTCTTCTAAACTCTCCAGGTCACAAAGATCTACTTCATAACAGTTCTGGATTTAACTATTCTTTTATTCTTCATCCATGAAAATTTCCTATGAAGATTTGGGAAATCCTCTAGAACAGTACTGGAAGTGGCTCAATTCAGTGGCTTAATGCAGAAAGTATCTAATTCCTTTCCTGCAAAGAAGCAATCCATTGGACCACAAAATATCCAACCTATTCAACCCCAGTATTGTCAACTTTTTGACATGGGTCAGGCCAGACAACAGACACCACAGGGAATCATGGAACTCTACTTAGTGACGTAGACCAGGAATCTCCAACCATGGCAACTTTAAGCCTGGAGGACTTCAACTCCCAGAATTCTGGGAGTTGAAGTCCTCCAGGCTTAAAGTTGTCAAGGTTGGAGCCCTCTGATGTAGACCACGCTTTCTCAACTTTTATCCTGGAGGAACTCTTGAAATAATCTCAGGGAAATTCTCATAAAATTTGCAAAAGAATATGAAAACTTTAAAATAAAACTTACTTTTAATTTACCTCATATTATACAACATTTATAACAAAAAAGCACAAGGGTGGCAGCTGAAATACAGCATATAAAAATTTCCAGCATGCAAGCACTAGCATTGTACAGCATAAAAGAAAAGAAAAAAACAAACAACTTTTTTTTTCAATTGTGTTTTCTTGCAGAATCCTCAGCAACCTTGAAGTGGAAGACACTGACAACAGCAGAGGAGATACAATTCATCTGATCAGCTCATGCTTAACCAATTCCCTGCCCAATCACCTGGTCAGGAGTCATCATGGCCAGATATTAGATTTACTGGTCACTTGGGAGTTTTACTTTTCCCTGAAGACTAAGGTTTGATCTGTGTAAAG